GTGCAGCCAGACTCGCCTTCCTTAACAGAGTTAGAGTATGTCACCCCCACTTCTTAAAAGCCTGGCCTTCCTTATGAGACACATCCCCTTCCCTCCATGGAGTTAGGCCTTCAAAGCACACCTGCATGCTCACTGTGTGCCAGACTGTGCAGAAGGTAGGCTCTGCACCTGTCCCTCCCTCTAGACTTTGCCACATGGCATTTCTCCAAGCCCAGAACTCTTGGGTGTTTCTGGAATTGACCTTGCACAGAGACACTTGTGTCCTTTTGCTCATGCGATTCCCACTGTTTAGAAATTCTCACTCCTTTCCTCACCTGTCAATATTCAGTGCCCAGAGCCCACCGCAGGCGGGCAGCGCCTCCTCCACGTAGCCTGACTTGCATCTTCCTTCCAGAGGGGCTGCTCCTCTTGCTGCCCTCCCAGGGCAGGCCTGCCTGAACTGGACAGCCTCTCAGGGAGGCCAGACTTGCACCCCAATCCTGTTCTGTATTTTTAGCTTCATTGGATTATGATCTGCACCTTGTCCAACTGGGTCTGGTCCCTGTCACACAACATCTCCCCCAGGCAGCCCAAACTAGCTCGTCAATCATTGGCTTTTGTAGAGCAGATCAAAGGTCCCTGAAGCCATAGGGTCTCAAAGGCTAGGAATTGTCCAGTTCCATCTGATATCCAGGAGGGAAACACAGCCCATGGAGCGTGGAACTGGGAAGATGGCACAGAGGATTGGGGTCTAGGAGAGGAACCCGCAGCAACCCTGCTAACAAGTAATACCTAACATTCATTCAGCTCTTCCAGACACCAGGTGCTGTGCTAAGTATTTTACATGTGTTCAGCCATTTAATCCTCATAATAATTCACCTTAGATGAGAAAACTGAGGCCCAAACAGGTGAAACTCCCAGCCAGTAAGTACCAGAGCCAGGCTTCAGATCCAGTTAATCTGCTTTCAGTGTCCATGTTCTATCTTACCAACTTCACCATTATGGCTAAATATGAAATATAAAAATATAACTACCCAGGACCAGCTGCCCTGGTGGCAACACGTGAGTCAGGCTCTCTCTAATCTGTGACAGTATAAAAATTATTCATCAAAGGTAAAACCTAAAATTAAGACATGGATCAATATACTGTGAGTTCATCACTGATTCTTTCCTTAATGATTTTCTAATAGGGAATCAAGTCCTAGTTTAGGCTCTTTGAGTGATGACGGTTCAGTACCTCCTCAAAGCCACCCATGGATCAGTAACAGCTCTTGTTTAAATTCAGATAGATAGCACCATCTCTCCTCATTAATTATGTATTCTGTGTTTATAAATTCACCTGCTTGCTAAAATGTCCTTGTAACCCCAAAATCGATACTGGTGGCACTCTCATGGTCAGACACAGGCAGGCACAGAGCAGGGGAAGGTGGATTTGCATGATGGGCACGTTCCATCTGAGATCCGGCGAGGCAACCTCTGTCTTCTCGTTTCATCTCTCGTGCTAACAAGTGTCCTCTTCGTGGTCTATTTAGTGCCATGTGTTCTGCATTTTTGTGCTTTTTGTGGTGATGTCACTGTTTAGAGTGGCCCCAAGAGGAGCGCTGCTGTCTAGCATTCCTGAGCTAAGCAGGCTGTGCTGTGCCTTACGGGGAAGGTGCCTGTGTGAGACAAGCTTGGGTGAGGCAGGAGCTGCAGAGCTGCTGGCCATGCATTCGGTGTTGACAAATCCACAAAATAGCATGTTCAGAAAAAGGAGAAGGAAATTG